ATTAATATCAGAACTTTTTTCCTACATCGCTGTACTTTACTACTATTTGCGCTAATTTTTCCACTCTCTGTTCTTTTTTTGACAAAAACAAATGTATTCCTTCCAAGTAGAACACATCACCATTCCAAGTAAAACACATTACTGTGTTTGTTTTGGTCATCCGCCTCTCCCCTTACTTGGTGTTTGTTATTTTTGCAACCGTTTATTTGACTACTGTTTCTGTTGCTAAAAACCGCTGACTTTCCACTCACTCGATTGTGACTAGTTTTGCATTCCATTGTTTCATTATTTTAGACACTCTTACCGACCTCTGTATTGGTGCTACAAAATTCGCATATGTATTTTCCAAATTATTTCGATATAAATGCTAAATACTAAAAGTCAAATATGTGTTGATACAAACAACAAGGCCCATAGCAACAGGAAGAAAACATAATATCAAAATAGAAAAATTAAACCGGCTAAGAATTTCTGTGCCATAGAAACCCGCCGACAATGTTGTTTTTTACGCTCTTGCAAGAAACTAGTATGAATTGCATTCATAAAATGCAGAAATATCGAAATTGGCAACACATTCTGAACACTATTCATAAAATAAAAGAATTATTTTTTTCTGTCTAATAGCACGTAGTACGAAGGTTACTTTCTCAATTTCTGACCCTAATATTGAAAATGCGAATATTTATTACCAAAAATGGTTTTATTTTTTAAAGTATTCTACAGTGGTCGAATCACTATTTCCACATCTATTGGGTCAGCTCCAAAATATTTTTTGGTGTGCGATAATGGAAGGTATTTATTTTTTTCCAGTGGTTCATTTTTGTTCCCGTTCTCCTAGTTCTAGTTTTCATCCAATCGTTTATCTGGATTTTTCATTGAGGTGCGAACCGGAAAAGATTGACCCTCTTCACGAACAAGAATGACCAACACTACAGAACTGAACATCCTAGAAACAGGCTACCATTTGCCTCGAACAATTTTAGTTGGATTTGTCTCGACTTAGAAGACCCACAACTCTTTTGTTGTTGATCATGAGTTCATTTCATTTTTTTTAAAAAATAAGCTTCCAAGTCGCTGTAAAAAAAGAAAACAGGGTCGTACATAAAATCGCACTAATAACTTTTATATAACCATCGTATGCATTCTTGATTTTTTGTTTTTGAAATGTGTTTTTTTATTAATTTCTTCCTATTTTGAATAGTGGCATCTTCTACCTAAACAATGAAGCAATAGCTGCCAACAACACAAGTTATGGTGGTATGTAAAATTGTACTGATTCCAGAAGATTTTTTTAACTTTCCTTCCTGATTTCGATCCGAACAACACAACTCATGTCGGTACGTAATATCGTACGGAGTACCTTTAAGTAGCCGTCGAATGTTTTTGGAATTGGGGGTTTACTAAAATTTCTTCCTATTTTGAATAAAATAGTGCATCTTAAAAAAGACACTGCAAACAACCCAACACATGGTCGTACGTAAAATCATATACTAGGGCTTTCATATCCCTAAGATAAATGTTTTGGCCTTGGAAATTTATGGGAATTTCTTCCTATTTGGAATAAATATTGGCATACCTAAACCTTAAAAAAAGGTGGTCACCACTCTCCTACATAATTGTATGCCACTAGCCGGTTGCGTATACATACATTCATTTTTATAGATTCGAGCTGGACCAACACATTGGAGCATAGCGTGCCTAACAACAAACAAAGTCACGGCATGATTTTTGAAGTATAGACAAATATACCGCCGCCTCTACGCATATTTTTCATTTTCAATAGATTTTTTCTCATTTAGTTTGTTGCAAATTCAGATTTTTTTGTTCGATTTAATTTCGGTGCTTTGAACAGTGAACATGAGAAATCATGTAATGCAGTGGTAGGAAATCTTGTTTTCATTAAACAAACGGCGCAGGCGTGCACAAACCATAATTCCCCAATGGAATTTCAAATAATTGCCAGGCAAGAAGCAATCATCAAATTCGTGTGGGTAATTGCCACTTTTGTATGATGGTGGCCAAAAAGAGCAGAAAAAATCGAAATCAAAGCAGTAGAAATATATTACAAAAACAAATCATGTAATTTCTGGTGTAATACAACACGCATGCAACACATTTTTATTTTGTTAGCCACACACTGGCTCAGGGGACAACAACTAACTCTTGGCTGCTAATTTAAAACCCGACCCAACAACAATAATAAGTTATGCATACTAAGAGAGCACAGATTTTGTTGGTGTTTTGTTTTTTGAATTTTCTTAGTATGATATGCCGTCATACGTTACGACGTTATGAACTAACTGACAAGTTGCGTTTATGTTGCATTTATACATGTTGTTGCTCTGACACTTGTTACCTTAAATATTGGCGACGCAATTGCAGTGAACGCATGGCGAATTTTGAATGGCACAGCACCACGACAGTGTACGTAAAAAGCGCCAAATGATTTTCTTTTTTCTTGTCCAAAACACATTGGACGACGGACGCACCGACTGACATATGTCACTGCCAAGGTGAATTTATGACTTTTTGTAGGCATGCGTTGTTTTTAGTCTAGAGTTTACTTTTCTTCTTTTGGTAGTTGTTACTTTTCATTTATTTATTCATCGGCTCTAGCCGAAAATATCGCGTGAGTTGAATTTTTATAATCTATTTATGTTTTGATGACTTTTTACGCCCACTAATCTACAGCACATAATGTCAGGCTATTTGTCTGTATTTACGTGCGTAGATATTACGCTTGATTACAGGATTTAGTTTTGCGTATTCAGTGTGGAGTAGCTATGTGGTAATAATGGGTTCATTTGCCTCTGGAATATTAAATATCGCACTGAGAAAATAATTACAAAAAAGAAAAAAATATATAAAATAAGAAAATAAATTTATGCAATGTTTGCAATTGGTAGCGGGATGCTAATAAAGGAAATAAGTGTTTTATAAATTAAAAAGGTATGACTAATGGGATGTCCAATATCAATGGGCAAAATAAAGAAATAATATTCCTAGAGCTCAATATCTGCCATTATTCGCATACAGACTTAATGTTAACGGGTTCGGGTGAAATGAAAAAATATGATACATTTAATTTGGCTTTTAGGTCACGAACTTTAATATTTTTCCTGCAAAATATATGAAGTGTTTTAAATTTAGTCTAACGAAGTGTGTTTAAAGGAAAAATCGTTGACATTAAATTTGGCGTACGAAAATGTGTTGTGTTGTTTACAGAGACGACTGTGTTCCTGCGGAATAAACTGGTTTTTTAATCGTTTCTATATTCCACCAAAAATTCAGTTTACCGAAGTGTGATGAAAAATTGTTTATATTACATTACCAAATTGGAGGTTTGCATGGCGCATAATGTTCAAAAATCATGTTCTGGAGGTTATTTTTGTGGTGTACCACAATTTGTTGGTGTAATGAAAACACGAAAAATAGAAGACAAATCATAATCACAATGATAAACATTTCTCCGGTAAGGATATGTAACGTATATGCGGATAAACAGCTTTGAATCAAGCCTTGAAAAATATCAACCGCGGCATTTTCTAATTATCGGTCAAAATTCTTGAACGAGGTATTGAATATTGGAAAGAACACTACGTATTAATTTTTAAAAATTATGTCCAATATAAATTGTCTTTAATTTTATTTTTATACCCTACACAACTATGTTGTCAGGGTATTATAGCTTTGTGCAGCCCCAAAAATTTGTAACGCCGCGAAATATTGGTCCTAGACCCACCTTTAAGTATACCAATCGTCATATCTCGACTAGCTGAGTCGATCTAGACATGTGTGTCCGTCCGTCCATTATAATTTGTAAACACGATACATGCCACAGTTATGGATCAATCTTCACGAAATTTTGCATGTAGGATGGGTTCTGGCCAATGAAGACCCCTATTGTTTTTGATAAAGATCGGTTAATATTAAGGGGATGAAATGGACCAAATACTAAATGTTTGTCGATTTTTCTGGTCGCTCCAGAGGCCGCAGTTATGGTCCGAACATCGTGAAATTTTACATGGAGAAGGGGTTCGGGGATAAGAATAAGCATGCCTGTATTGATAAAGATCGGTCAACATTTAGCGGGTCAAATGGACCCTGACTTTTGTGTGAAAAATTACAAAATTTTTATTCTGGGACGCTCCTGAAGGACATATACTCGCGATGTTGATAGTATGTCCAAGATGAGTTGTTGACCTTCAAATTGATACCAATTATATGGCGGTATGTACTCCGATGTGGGAGTTATTCGTAATTAAGTAAAGGTGACTATGTGCATATTATTACTATTACTCCATTAGAGGACGGAAATGTCGCGCTGATCGCTTAGAAATTGTGCATGTAGTTCCGATTATGGTCAAGGACGACGCCTATAGTTTTCGGTGAAGTTGAGATTTCATTCAGGGGGTGCAATGAACAGAAAACTTTAATTTTGTCAGATTTTATAGTAGCTTTAGAAGCAATTATTATATACAGAACATCATATATTTTACAAGGTGAAGGGGATCTGACCAAATACTTAGAGCGGCTGTTTAGATGATGATCGGTCAATTTTCCGAGGGTCAAATCAATCAAAACCTAAAGTGATCAATTTTTTATTGTATGGCGTAAAAATTATCTTCAAGAAAAAAACATTATGGAAAATATGCAAGACTTAGAAATAGGAGTTGTTGATCTATAATCTGTAAATATCACGAAATATTACCCAGGCTCAGAATATAGAACCGGCGAAAGTGTGCTTTTCGTGGTAGTTGTGTAGGGTATCATATGGTCGGCCCCGTCCGACTATACTGCTCCGCTCACTGGTTTGTTTTTTTATTTTATTTTTTTTTGAGTCCATAGTGGTACTCTACTTCAAATTATTATTCATTTTTACGAATTTCAATGTTGCACTTATAACAACAACTCATATAAAAACGTATTTTCCCATTTCAACATAAATTTTAAAATTAAATTTTAAAAAGTTTTTCATTTTTAATTATCGTCGCACTTACCTTATTGGGTGAAATTGTAGAGGTGGTGGTATTTGTCGATGTTTGTGAAATGCTTGATTTGGCCGGTGAACGGGGCGGCAAACGTTTGCCAACATTTGCCCCATGTAATTGTTGGCCATAGTTTAGATGTTGTTGTTGAGCCGAAGCTGTTGTTGTTGTGGGTGAATTGAACTGGCCTTGGTTATATTGGTGGTGGTATTGGTGATTGTCATTGGCTTTGACATTGATATTGCAAATATCTGCACGTGTATAAAAGCGTATATTTTCCTATTTAGAAAAAAAAAACAAAAATAGAGAGTAAAACATGAAATGAAAAAATATAGTTTAAAGGTAAAGGATAGAGTTTTTCTTTAAACTAAACCAGTTCTTGGGAGGTCTCTTGCATAGCATTTTTTGTATTTGAATACTTTCAAAAAGAAACATTTCTTTTTTACAAAAGAAAGACATTTTCAAGCCAAAAAAAGGCATAATTGTAACAAAGTTTGTAGGAAACTATCTACTACCTATGACCCTCCTCTCTTTAAAACCTGCCTCTGTAGTTCATACTGTATTATTTCTCCTCTAAACTTAACATGATTTCCGCTTATTATTTTTAATATGACTATCTCAAAACTTAAATCATGATCAATGATTTTAGTCGCTTTTCTTTTTCTCGACATTGTTTTTCTTGCTGTTGTGGTTACCACCACCAACAACAATATGCAGCTGAAGCAACAGTTACAGTTGCATATTTTGCAAAGGAAATCATTTGTTAATTTGTGAAAACGTTTACCACCATCCATTAACCATTAATATGGATCAGGTTTAGTTAGTCAGTCGTATTTCGTTCCGCTTCACTGAACTGCATTTCGCGCGATGGTGATGATTTATGGTAGCAAATTTTATTAATGATTTTTCACTAAAACCCGTAGAAAAAAGCTCACACATTGGCAGTGATATTTAAATGGAATGAATTTCTTGCCTTAATTGATATTCACACGCACTTTGTATGGGGCGATTTTATGGTAGGAAAAAATTATAAAAAACAATTTATTTTAAGAAGATAATATAAAAAATATTTTTTAAATATTATAAGTGAAAAAGAAAAATATTTTTTTCCAAATATGGCTTATAAGTAACTAGTTACTTATATCCGAAATTTCCTTAATATAGTTTCAATATCATGATTTAAGGCTCTGATTTGTGTATTAAACATTTTTATAAAAATTTTATACGTTTAACTAGGAATTGCTCTGATTTAGATGAATGTAAGTACCGACCATTCCTTTTACAGAATAGATATTTTGAACTAGTTCGTTCTGGAACCACCTAACACTAATGTTATATGACCAAACAATACTGGGTTCGTGTTCAAATACCAAATTTCTGTTTTTTTTTTTTTAATATTTTTAACGCCATGAGGACAAAATGCCGATCCCTTCTTTGGGAAAATGCGGTTGCTTCACCTAATTGTGAAGGGTATTGCAATGATCGGAAAACGACATCTGCTGGTGAATGTGACAACTGTCAGATAAGCAGAGATCAAACCCAACATAACTGAATTTAGTTTTTCTTAAGGTGTACTTACAGGAGTTCGGCAGTGGAACCAGAACATAAAGTATTTAATTTTGGAGGTAGTTATATGTCTTGTACTTTCTTCGTGGGTTTTGAATATCATGAAAATAATTTCTAGTAATTTGTTTGTTTTGCAGTAATTTTGTAAATTTTGTATGAAGTTTAAATGAACGCTTCGGACAGGATGAAATCGCTATGTTAATAGAATTATAGAGATAAACACCCAATAAGGTTGCATAGTGAGCAGACTACAAACCGATGGGTATCGGTTTCGAATCTCCGTGGAAGAGGAGAAATTCTTTCAAAGTGGTTTTCGAATTTTTGTGAAAAATAGCTTGCATCCCCTCCAGTTTTCAAATAATCAACCTCAACTCGCGAGGATAACACAAAATGGGAATGACAGGAGGTAGCACCACCCATAGAAAACGGACAAAAAAGCAAAGACCCCAACCCAACCACTGCGTTTCTACGACAGGGTACAATCCGAAACGACCCAAATCTTATTCGGCCAAAGTCTGTCATCTCAGCCCATTGTGTAAAAGCTGTAGAACTGCTACAATAATAACCACTGGGCAAACGCAAAAGAGACATTTTTTCTAGACAACCATAGATGGCAGGCTCATCACCCAAGACAGGCTACAGCAGATCAATCAACCGCTTAGTGATATAAAAAACAATGATTCATGAAACAAACACAAGGAAAATAATGGAGATGCTTTGTTGAGGCCTTATTGTCGAAGAGGAGTGAAAGGACAAAGATCCAATGTCTTGGTAGTACATTAGACGAGACCATCTTACAAAAAGCTAGGGACCATTACAGATACAATAATTCCATGGCTTGTTTCTGCACTAGTTAAAGATTCCTGAAATAAATACTTACATGTTAAATGCCAGTATTATGTTTCTAGACAACGGTAGATGGCAGCCTCATCACCTAGGACAGGCTACAGCAGATCAATTAACTACTTATAGAGATAAATCAACAATGGTACATGGGCCAAAAACCCAATGTCCTGGTGGTATATTAGAAAAGGCCATCTCACAAAAAAGCTAGAGACCATTTCAAATATTATCAAAATAACACTACGGATTGTGTCTTCATTAATTAAAGATTCCTAGAGCTTATGAAAAAATATTTCCAGGTGCAAATCCCAGTATTATATTTCTAGCTAATAATGCAACGACACATTGTTTTAGTGCTGCACTGTGTTATTTAATATTTCACAAAAGTCAAAATGACCGCTTTTAGGCAATATAGGTATAGCACATGTGAATACGGGGAATGGAAGCAGCTCTAATCATCTAGGACAGGCTACAGCAGATGAAATCATATTACGTCGGATAGGACCACGATGCTTTCTCTTCTAGAGAAATTACTAGAATTACATGATGTTCTTAAGTGACGATAGATGTCACTGTGTGGTGTGATTAAAAGAAAACCCCACCCAAACATTTCTTTACAAAAATTTTAAACTAAAATAAAAAGTTTCTTTCAGAAAAAATCGTATTTCATTACGATTTAGGTTACATTCCTATAGAACTACCTCTTGATTGGTCCGAACTGTCAGTTTGGCATTTAACCATACATACATATATTCCATGAAATACCAATAAAACGATTGATTTAAAATGTTGAGAAATGTTTCAAAGGAGAAATGAAGAAGAAAACCAGAAGAAGTTGTGGAAGCAATGACACCGTTAACTGAAATGCGGTCTCCCAAGGTATTTGGATTAAGTTATTTGAAAAATGCCACACCACCAAACCAAGCAATCCAAAGATCGACCATCCGGCGTAGTCAACCATTTCTCACCTAAACGATGGCTACAGAAATGCAATTCCAAGCCAGAGGTGGTTGGTTGGCTGTTTGGATTTCTTTGATTGCTTTGGTTAATGGTTTGTTGTGGCTTCTTTGATGATAATTTTCTTCTTACCTTTTCCAGATTTCCATTGACAGCATCATCGGAAAATGAAGAATTTCTGTTATGTTGCTGGGCTGGTGGTGGTGAAGATGATGAAGATGATGCTGCTGTTGGGACTAAGCCGCTGGTGTTGTTGATTGTTTTGTGGCGAGAATTTGTGCTGACACAATTGTTGTTGTTGTTTTTGTTGCTATTGACAATATGTTGCATTGTTGAGGTTGGCGATTTACCATTGTTGCTGTTATTGTCATTATATTGTTGATGGTCATTGCCATGATTGTTGTTGTTGTTATTATTATTGATTTGTAATTCCATTTCTTGGCGTTGATGATACTTGGGACGAATTTTTGTGGCACTTGTTTTGATTGAGACTCCCGTGGTTGTGGTCGTTGTTGCTTCCGTCAACATATCATTCGACGAACAAGAACTACTGGTAATGGAACTGCTCGAAGAACTACTTGACGACTCCTTGACAGTGGAGTTGTTATTGGGTTCAGTTGTGGCGTTGACAATCACGTCCGACTCATGAGCTGTTGTTGTTGCTGTTGTTGTAGCAATTGATGTTTGTAAGTGTGTTGTAGTGGCTGTTGCCTCTTTGTTTTCTTTATCGGAATCGGCGTCACCATATATGGCGGTACAACCTAAAGAGGCGGCAAATGCCGCTGTCAAAATACCCGTCGACGTTGAAGATGATACGGTACTGGATTGTATGCTACCAGGAGGAGCAGCTCCTGCTGCTGCACTAATGGCCAAATGATCGTAGCTATACAATTCAGTGGATACCGCTGAAATACCACGAGCGATATGATGATTGGAATTCAAACTTTCAATATCAACAACGTCAATTGATCTTGGCTGGTGGTGTTGTTGTTGCTGTTGTGTTGAGGCAGCAGCTGTGTATAGCCAACCTTCGTCGTCTGAAGAGACATCCGCTGATTTTAGAAGCTGTGCGTTGGATAATCAAAGTAAATGGATGAAATTTAATAAAAGGAAATAAATTAGTAAAAAATAATTCATAGAGGATAGATATTTATATGAGAAATTTTGATTTAGATGAAAAAGCAAAAATGAAATTGGTAATAAGTTATGATGAATGTACATATATAACTAAAAATAAATTTATATATTTAATCACTGTTTAATACTCTTTTTAGTATAAGAAGCTTTAAAGTGAAGTTAGTAAAAAATTATATTAAAAATAATGGCGCATTGCAAAACAAAAAGTTGCAATGTCATCAAACATTTATAAATGATTGCACAGTACCACATACATACATATATACACTCACTGGAAAATGCATTACAAAAATCTTAGTTAAATAGAAATAAATATAAAAGCCATTAAATGGGCAAAAACGTTTTTCTTGAAGTCTATACATCAACAACTGGAGGCTAGAAGAAGAAGAAGCAGACATAGCATGACCATGAGAATTTGACATTGGAAAATTACAGAAGAAAAACTCATGGTCGATGTTTTCTAAGCCTTACTTCTTTATCTTGTGGCGGCATCTTCCAAGATGCCATCACTCTTTGGCATTCGCCTATGATTAATTACATTTCATTGCAAAAACCCGAAGACAAATGAATGACCAAAAGCCTGACTGGGCAGGCAGGCATTCACGCAATTTGATGAAATGTTTGCGTTTTTTGTTTTCTTTCTCTCTTTTCAAAATCTCAAACATTCACCACATCTTTAGAGATGATGGCAATCACCAACAAAAAAATCATTTAAAGATTTTTTTAATTTCAAATTGCTGATTGTGAATCTCAATTCGTTTTGCCATTAACATTGAAAAACGAAACGAAAAATAATTTTTTGTTTATTAAAATTGATAATTGCCAATTAATTTAATGGTTAACAATGTTTAAATTAATTTTTTTAAATCAAAAAATATTTTCCATTGTTTTTGCCGTTGAAATTTTTATGTGTTTGTAGGCTTTTTTATGGTTTTATGAGAAAATTTTAATTACAATTTTGCTTAATTTCTTGTTTATAAATAATCAATTTAAATTAATTGAAAATAGGCTGGGTTAGAAATTTGAAAGCGAAATTCACAAAATACAATCAAAAACCATATTAGATTTTTATACACTTCACAAGGAGATAAGTAAAAATATGAAGAATGAAAAACTGTTTTCAATACTCAAAAAAATTTAAATATGAGATTTTTATAGACAAGGAGAAAAATAAAGATATCAAGAATGAAAAACTTTTTTGGAAACCTATTTTTTTATAAAGATGTAAGAAATGTAATCTTATTTTCACGATTAAGCATTGAAATATTTTATAGTCCTCTTTGATAATAAAATTAAAAAAATTGAATTTTGTATATATGACCAAAATGTGAACCAAAGCCTCTTATAGGAGAAAAGTCATAGAGCCAAGAAGTCTTCCTAAAGAAGTTCTTTCGGGGTTCTCAAGAGGTCTTTTTATGGAGTATCAAAGGGAGGTCTCATGGAAAACCAAAGGGCCTTCTAAAATATGGTTCGAAGAGATCAAGAAGTCTTCCAAAAAATTCTAACAGAGGTCTTCTAATGGATTACCAATAGTATAAGCTTTGAAGAAGCCTTCTTAGAGAAGTTCTAACGGAATTCTCCAGAGGTCTTCTAATGGAATACCAAATGGAAAACCAAATAGTCCTTATATAAGATTTATAACAGATCTAATTGTCTATGGTCGACTGTTGAAAAGGTCAATTGGCTACAAATATATTTTAATTTCAGTAAAGTTTCTCATCTTAAAAATTAGTACTGAATTTTGGTTAGCTTCCGTAGCTAGGTTAGTGTTACAACAAATTATTTACAAGTCTACGGAATTTCATATAAAATAATAAATAAATCAAAAATAAAAAAATATATGTTAATAAATTACATCATGCAACTAATTTCAATACAAACTTAAAATAATGACCCATTATTATTATTATAAAAATAAATAAAAAATTGAAAAATATCACACAAAAAGATTAAAGATAAAACAACAAAATAATAATAATAACCCACAATTGCCACAGGAAAAAAAACTATGAGAAGAAATCTTTGCAAAGAAGCCAACAAACCAATACCCCTATCACCGACCACGCTTCAGACAAACAAATAAATGAATGAAATAGTTTTTTTTTTTTTGTGGTACCAAGGGGCAAATACAAATTGGAGCCCCCAATAAGAAGAGACATTACAAGGAAAACACAACAATAACAACAAAAAATTTATATGACAAAATGCGAGAGAATTGCTCCACACAACCAGGTACCGGGTGATGAATCTTACCACAAAACCAGGAAATAAAAACTAAAACCTCAACAACACACAATAATACCGATATAATACAAATAATAATAATAATGATGATGATGACGACGAACAAATAAAAAACTGAAATGTAAAACACACATTCGTCATCAAACACACACACGACTACAACAAAAAAAACTCAACAGATGAATGATAAAATATGGAGCATATGCGTCATCATTTCAGTGTCACATGGCCAACCAAAACGGCAGGGACACACACCAAAAAATGATCCACACGCACACACACCATGTTGAATGAATAGATCTGCAGCCTTGCTACTTTTGAGAGAGAGCGACGTCTAGTACGACAATGCCACAGGGATATAGATGTGAGGATAGATATAATGGGGAGCTATTATTTTTATTTAACAGAAAAAATGTTTTATGATATTTAGTTTTAGCCCCATAACCAATATACCCGAAAATAATAAGAAAAAAAATATACGGCAATGATTATTGTCTCTGTATAATAGGGTGGGGTGTAATGGAGATGTGTGATCATTTGTATAAAAATTTAAAATTAAGAAAGTACGGCTGTGATAAATATAAGATCGAAATTTAATAGATTTTCACATGGAACACTACAAAGATGACCATTTAGAATTCTAATAGAAGGCCCCTATTGACCTACACGATCTTCCCAAACAAGGTCCTTCATTTCGGAGACCAAGGAGAACTTCTGGTGGCAGAAACCCCCAGTACACCCAAATTATCACACATTTCCATCACCACCCCTGACCACTATTACCACCACCACCACAAACCACTTTAAAATAGGAAACAATATATTTTTGCCGATTTATTTGGTGAATAGATGGCGGATGTGATTTTTTTCGCTCTCTTGGTTTTGTGAATTTTCTCACAATACCCTTTCCGCTACTTACATCACTTGCATGTGAGGAGGCGGCCGATGATGATAGCGCCCCACCACGGCGTCGTCGTCCAGCAACAACAATGTTGCCATTATCATCTTCATCGCCGACATCTCTGCCACCGCCAACAACAACATCGTGGACATCATCACCATAATTGCTGTTGCTATAGTTGGTCTCGTTGTCCGTATCCAAATGCTTAAAATAGAAAATGGCACAATTTTTCGATTTGCGATTTGAGCGATTGAATTTTGAAATATCCGAGGCATGATGGTGTTCGTAGTGTTTGCGCAACACTGTCGGCGATTTGTTGTTCAGTTTGTGGTATTGATTATGATGATGATTGTGATGATGAGACGGTGTTTTTGCGCCATTGTGACTGTTGTTGGGCGAGATAATGGCAATGTTTTTCTGCTTCATGGTTAGGCCAGAAGAACAACCACCGATACCAACGACTATACCACCAACAAGAGCACCACCATTGGCAAAATTGTTCTGCTGCTGATGGTGTTGCTGATTGTTGTTGATGTTGTCGCTGGCCGATGACGATAACTTGTGTTGCATGGTGCTGTTGTTGTGATTGTCGATAATGCCGCCGTTGGTAGAACTTGAATTACCACCGTTGCTACCGTTTAGCGAACAACCGGACAAAGCACCCGAGGATGACGACGACGATGATGCCGATGATGATGACGTTGAACCGTTGGAGGTTGCTGCTGAACCTGTTGTGGTTGTCATGCCATTTTGTGTAATTGCCATAAGGGTTAATCTCTGGTGATTGTGTAGCTGTTGTTGTTGTTGATGCAAAACTTTCAGTTGTTGTTGCTGCTGGGCCAGATGTAAACGATCATTAGCCACCATTGTTGTTGCATTCACCAATATATCGGCTGCCTTAGTTTGCATCTCATCTATTTCACAACTTTCTAGTTCAGTAGTATTATTTTCAATTGTCGGCTGTAGCAACACTTCACCGTTTGTATCGGTGGTATCAGTGGCAGCAACCAGACCACAATCCACATTAGATGCAACCAAAGTAGATGATTGTGTGGCCGTTTTTGTGTTGTTATTATTGCTAAAAGCGTATCTTTTTGTTGTCGGATTTTGTGAAAAACTACCGTTTGCAAGATTGAGGTATTTATAGGTCGTTGCCGACGTCGATGTTAACAATGCCTTGCCGCCACCACCACAGTTAGCAATATTTAGTGGTGTGGCACGTTGATTACGTATACGTTGTTGTATCGTTTCTAAATCGGAACTTTCGGAATCGGCTTCGAAATCGGTTAAACTTAAATTTGCTTTGTATCTACCAGTCGCTGAAGAACGTCCACCACCTGTGGATCGATCAAAGGTGACTAGAAGTTTGGTGTAGCCGCGTTGTTTACGTTGCTGCGGACAATCAATTTCATCTATATCCGTATCGAGATATTCTTCTTCATCGTTGTAATCTGCCTCTTCCTCGTCGTCGTCTTCGTCGTCACCTTCGTCTTCAAAATCAAGCTAAATATTTGAAAAGTGGGGGTGAATGAAAGACGTATTGATTTGATTTGCAGAACAAGGGATATAGGAAAAATATAAAATCATATTTGTATATATGTAAAATATTTGGATTTGGGGCGAAAAGGATGTGAAAGGATATGGAAAAGAAGAATGATATGGGATGTGTTTAGAAAAAACATTGCTGGAGCAATGAAACAGAGTTGCTATGAAAAGGAACACAAAAACATATTTCATTTTTTATGTACCTTAGGACAAATTGGATAATCATTACATTTTGCCTTACATGGAGGCAAGTAAGTAATGGCTTACGCGAGAGTAAAAAATACAAAGGGCTACTGGGCAGCAAGGCAACACTATCGCCATCTGATATTTCCATTGCAAAGTTCGACATTTCTTAGTACGTTTATACTCAGGAGGGATTGACGTACGAACATGTGTTGTGATCTTTACAATGATTTTAAGTGGAGTGGATGAATTAAATCGTTGAATGATATTTCTAGAGAAAATCCAGGGGCCTACTTGGAGAAGAACCTTAGGTCGCCTTTTAGAATATCCAGGTGCCCCTCATTATTTTTATAGTAGATCCATTTGCAGGAATATTTTTATAGAATAACTTAAGGTCCTCCTTTAAAGACTCAGGGGTCTTTTTGTTTAAAAGTCTCAGGAAATTTTAATAGAATATCTAGTGGCCTACTTGAAAATATTCTTTTGGTTTTCATATAGAAAATTCAGAATTGGACTTCCCAAAAAGGCCAGTAATTCTTTTCAAAGAAGACTAAAACAAAGGAGATTTTTTAGATGTCTCAGATTTTCTTAAAGAGACAATCCAAGGGCCTAATTAAAATGATGCTTAGGACTTTAGCTTAAATGGTCAGTAAGATAAATATATATCTTTTTGACATTTCGCACATACATTGTTACTACTCTTTCTAAGTTTTCTAACTTTTATTTCGATTATTTTCCGAGTGATAGGAAATTTTATTTTCCGAATTTAGTACTTTTGAAAATGTATCCGAAAATCTATATATTTTTTGCAAATTTTCGAATTTTCCTTTAATTTTTGTCCGATATTGTGCAGAAAATCGAAAATTCCCGCAAAATGTCACTTTTTACCAGAGTTTTTTTTTTTTGTTACGAATTCGTTAGGAAACTTGAATGTAAGTGCTTTCACACAATTTTGTTCAGATTTTGTTATGAATTCGGCATCAGAATCGGAAACTTGTACAGTGTTTCGTTCCGAATTGGGAAAAAACGGAAGAAATAGTTAGCTGAGACGTGGCCATCCAAATTTCATTATTTTGGGAATTTTTGTCACCTTTTTCAAGCAAAATGGCTGTTATCGTTTTTTTTTGTTCCTTCTGATTTTTTTCTGATAAAACTTTCCAAGTGCCCATGGAAATTTCACACATCTTTTTCCGATTTTGGTATGAATTCGGCATCAAAATCGGAAACTAGTGCAGAGTTGTTTGCTGGGAAGTTTCCATCCAAATTTCATTATTTTGGGGATAAAATTTCATTATTTGGACACAATTTTAAGTTTTTGGATTATCATTGGATCTCAAATCTTACTACAAAATTTTATCAACATCTGACCTTTTTTCCAGGGATATAACTAAAGCTTCCAATCTGAGAGACTATAGTTTGATATTTTTGATTTCTCCTTGCAGCGATTTACCACGGCATAGCACTCTTATAAAAGCATCGATCAAACGGTGGAGGGATAAAAATTTCGATCCAGCCGATATAAAAATATAGTATGATGGACACGATTATTGAAATGAAGTGTATGTGTAAAGTGTAAGATACGCACACAGTGTGTTCCAGAACAATCCCGAATAAACCCCTTTTTTCTAATAAATATTCCTATTTGAATTATTAGGCCACAAATATACATAGTAGCCCTCTTATATGTTACTCATATCGTTGGAGGAACTCCTACTTTTTATCCATTAGTATGAAATAATTTATTACTTCCTTCTAAAACCAGTGCAATAATTTCAAAATACATACATGTTCACATTTAATCTCTGATCGGATCTCTAACAAATTATTTATTGGCAACTCTGTTTCATGCTCACGTTCCTATATTTTGATATGACAATTTTTGTACACTCGTTTTTTCCAATTCGCGTGACAATTTGTAAATTCGAATTCCAAATACTAGTCTGTCTGGACCAACAGACAGATATATAAATGTAAACATATGCCACGTTTTTGTGCGGGAACCACTATGGCGCACAACATGTGGAACAATCGATAACCGTTAGCAAGAAATCGACAACAAAAAATGAATCCTAAACGCCGTCAGACAAAAAGTGTTGCCAACTTTTTTGTTATATTTTTTCTTCTGTTACAGCAAAAAAAAAACCCTTCTAAAAAATTCAAATTTCCTATTATTTATATATTTGGTTAGTAGAAAAAAAAACAAATACAACAACATTACATCATTTCTTGTTAAAATATTATGAAGAAAAAAACAACGACTTACAATCCAAATAAGTACAAATCATAGAAAAAAGTTGACAATACTTTTTTTTTTTGAATTTTGTTGCATGCATTTATTGTTTTGTTGGTTTATTGGAGGCAGGCAGATAAAACTTAAATAGATTTTCAGCACACAGGCAGGCAGGCAAATACAACAAACGCCAGGCATGACACAATTTGTTTTTCAGACCAAAATGCAAAAATCCACAAAAAAAGAGAAATACAAAACGCTATTCGCCAGCCAAATAAATGACAATCTGAAAGAGCTTTTAATGCATTGCCATTATTTGTGGGACTTCTTTATGCTGACTTGGGGGACTGTTGCATCTCATCTTGCTGATTTTCACGAGGAGATTTCATAGCCAGTCAGCCAGCATATTCAGTTTTGTCTATGATCAATGTAACTGCCAAAAGAGACAGACAGCAAGCCAGCCTGCCATCCACAAAAAACGGACGGACAGACATACGAAATATACATACGATTGCAAATAATGTATTTATAGGAATTATGCTGGTTATAGATTAAGGTTAAGGAAGAGTAAGTGGGAGTTAGAGGAGTTTTAGTTTGGTAATAGGAAAAAAGAAAAACAACAACAACGAAACATGGCATCTTAGACAGAAATAAATTACATTTTGGAGGATCTGCTGTTTGTTGTTTCGTGTATTATTACAACAACTACAGACAATATGGGTTACAAGAAAATGTAACGACGAACGAATGGATGAATGGCTGTTCGGTTACGAAATCTTACCTTAGTTTGAATACAATCACGTGAAGCCTTTTGAAGAAGATGTACCTGGTGATGGTGGTTACGCTGTAACTTGTGTTGTTGTTGGTGCTGCTGATGATGAGACGACACAATGTTTAATGTTTGCCTTTCCTCGATGTCACCGGTGTTGGAACGTTGTTGATGTATTTGATGAGACGATGTTGGATTACTAATGTCTTCGCTGTTGCAACAATTGTCTAAATGTTGATGTTGCTGTTGCAAATCTGCTTCTTCTTCGTTATATGACAGTGAATTATGTCTTATGTCACTTTCCAAATCGGAAGCTAAATCATTTAAATCATCTTCTGTGGCGCCATCAACGGCATTTCGACGACCATCCAAACTATCATCCGAGCTGGTGTCATCAATTGAATCATCAATATCTTCACTATCTAAATCGTCATTCGTTAAATTGTCCTGTAATTAATGGAGATAATGGAAAAGCACATTAGAATTTAATGGCACACGATTTGTGGTATTAATGAAAACGATTATTTGAAAAAAAAATAAATACTACACTCAAAAAAATTGTTAATAGATCATCATCAACATTTTCCAAAGTGAAACACAAAATATAAAAATAAAATTCTTAATCAAAAACTAGTAAAAATGTCTGCTCGGCCGAACTTTTTATACCCAGCACCAAGTGTTCCAAATTACAGTCACTCAGGTTGAAAAACTGGGGTAGGAGCTTCAAAATACTGAAAACTTAACGGGACTTTTATATGAGACCTATTTTAAAACATTAACCTATTTTGAATAATTTCTGGAAAGAATATTTGTATGCAGCACGAATCCGATAGGCCATATTATGCCCACTTCGATGAGAAAGATCAGGTAAACACTTAATAATACCGAAAATATATCTGAAACTTTATGTGGGCCTATATCAAAACATGGTATAGACATGTATATACACAGTTTTCTGCATCAAAACAAAATAAGGCTAAATCCTTCAAAATGCTGACATTTTGGCGCTGCCCCTGTATGTGGATATGTCAAAACTCTATTATGATTTAAAACTGACTGGCTGAAATGGATAATAGTACGTTTACTTTCGTTTCTGGATTTCCAATGGGTTTCAATTGACAATTCCATTGAACTCATAAAGTAGGTTAACCCGATAAAAAATTTTAATGTAAATGCCGTTAAAATCGACATATTATTCTAATATGTAGAATGGTTCAATTTCCATAGTTCAATTTTTCCATACTGTACATTTACCTTACTTTGAATAAAAGTAAAAATTCTTATAATCATGAGAAAGTCGCCATTTTCCCAAAATATGTAAACATTTCATTAATATCACAACTATTTTTCTACTTCACTCTACTTTGCCACTATTTGCGCTCCTGTTTCCTCTCTCTCTCTCTCTTTGACAAAAACAAAAGTATTCTTCAAAAAAAAAAAAAAATAAATAAATAAATAAAACACCACAACCACCATTTATTGTTCTGCTGCGTTTTTTTTTTGTATCGTTCTCCGCCTTTCCCCTTATTTGGTGTTTGTTATTCTTGCAAGCGTTTATTTGACTATTATTTCTGCTGCTAACTACCGCCGACTTTCCACTCAATCGATTGTGACTAGTTTTTGCATTCCATTGTTTCTTTATTCCATACACTCTTAACGACATCTCATTGATGTTACAAAATTCGCATATGTATTTTCCAAATTATTTCGATATAAATATTAAATAAAATATAGCAAACAAATGTTGCTACGAACAACATAAAGTTTTTTGACGCAGAATAAGAACGGGTAAGTAAGAAGAAACAAGACAAGACTTAATGAGAAGAATAATGGATAATTTTTAAATCAATGAAAGGTATATGATACGTGTTAGTGTCCAGAAAAATGTTTCTATAATCGAACAAAACAATATTTTAACGTGGATCAAATAAAACTATGTTCATATATTATTTGGGTCTATTATCCAACAATACTTTTATTATAAAATAGCCCATTTAACAGGTTATGCAGGAAGCAATCGCTATCGACTATTCTGATACCGCATACGGTCACATATGTCGTTTACGTTTTCATTCGATTAAGGGAAATAAGGAACTTTCGTTAATAAAAAAACAACTACTACAAAACAACAACAATATTACGTCAAGCCATTTTCTTATCCATTAAGTCTTAAAGTACTTATGTACCAAATTACAAGTCTTGAAATTGAAAGCATTTGGAGAGCACGGATAATATCATCTGATTCTACTGTTCGACCTTATAACTACCCCAAGTGTTGACGCGGACACACTCAATATCAAATGAGCGCTGCATACTTTTAGGCTTATATATATAAAAATATACCAACATATTTTAATCTGTTTGTAGTCTAATATTTACCATATATTTTAGATTCTACAACCTCATTTGCACTGAAACCCCATCAATATATAAATATTAATTAATTAATTGTCTCTTATCAATTCTTCAATTTTCAGAGGAATTTTTTATTTATTTTTTAACTTTTTATCTATTACATTTTATTTATACACTATACCCAATATATGCTAATTTTCCACTACTCATAAGAAACACGTGCTTTTCGATGAGATCATTAAACATAAATAAAGGAAAAAAAAATTTTCGAAAATATTTTAGATATTTTGCAAAGTCAGACATAGTTTTCGTTTCACTGGAAAGAAAATACAAAAAAAAAATGTTTGTCTGTAATTTCCCTCGAATCATTAATCAAAAGATTTTATGACACATAATGACAAACGTCTATATAAACAAACAAAATTAGCTACAAAAACATTGGAAATTTTCATTTTCACAAAATCCACCCATGTTGTAGCCCTAAAATATAAAATGACCTTCAATTTTTTTTTTGTTTTTGGTTTTTTTACATGAAAATGTGGCAAAGTGTGAAATGTTCGAGGAGTGTTCGAAAAGCTTAGTCATCTACATGAATGGTAATTAATATGTGGGCCTATGTGTTTAGGCTTTGTTAGAGAAGATTTCGGAAAACTGTTTGTATTTTTCAAATGAAAATACACGATGAGTTGTTTTTTTTTAATTTATTTATTCGTCCATCAACTTTGACTTTTTAGGCTTAACAAAGAATTTAGAAAAAAGTTGTATTGAAACATAAAAATGTATCTAAAATAAATAATGGGCCATGAACGTTTTTTAATTCATTGAATAACTCCCCTTGCTCGAACAAGGGGGAGCTGGGTGAAAAATCTTTATGGACCATAAACTGCCGACATCAATGATTATTTCAAGGCTAAGTGGTCTTAAAGAATACATTTCTGTAATCGAAGAAAATAGATATTATTAAATGTATCAAAATTGATGCGAGAAGTTGTTTTTAACAAATAATGAAACATAAGAAAAATAAAGTCTGTATAAATGAAAATTAGATTTGTAGGGGGCTTTGGAACTTCTGTCAAACAACCTTAGAGAACCTTACTGTTTTACACAGTTTTTAATATTTAGGATGTTTTTGAAATGATAATCCTAGTACTGTCTTGTCACATGCGGCTCAAAATGAAAAGATTATAATTGCATTTCAAAAAAGTTCCATATTAAAAAAAAAAACTTTCAAATATTTATGTACATTTTAAAATGCTCATTTATAAATTTGTGATCTCAAAACGATTTTGACATTTGGTTTGGAATACGCATATTTCAAAATCTCTATTTACTATTAAAAATAAAAATATATCAATTTCCATAATTCGACCCCAAGTTGAATATCAACTTCATGATTTTTAATGGCATCTCAAATTAATTATCATAATTATTATCTATCTTGTACAACATGACAGTTAACACTCGATAATATTTAGTAATGTGTTTTCAGTGTTTGCTCACAACTCTAACCGCAACCGAACAGATCCACCACCAGAGCACCACAGTCGTGCGTGGGTGTGGTGGGTGTGTATTTTTGCATCTCTGTCGGTCGTCCATAATACAATTAGTATTAAAGCCACGACACAGGCTATCACGTATCTATTTATCAGTCTGTAATGTCATAAAATTTTGACATTTATATATTTCAATTGCAATACAATTGCTACCATTTTGATTACCACAAATACGGTTATTTGCCTATAAAATGGGTGGCAAATATACAATAATTTATCGCGATTGTAATGACGCTTATCATTATTAAATTGTCAAATAATAATCATAACAAAAAACCAGCAATAAAATAACTATGACACACACGACAAATAAACTGTCAGTTTGTGACAATGTAAAATAGATTTCACACCATGTTATTAACCATGTGAGGTGCCAAGTTTAGCACGATAATTTGTTGTTAATAGCTCAACAAGTCACAAACAGAAAGGTTTGATCGAATTGTTCTAGGTATATATTTATAAAATGTTTCTTCAAACCTTTTAAGATATTCTGCCAATGTAAAGGATTTTCAATTTACTTGGGCTATTGTATATATTTCAGGCTGAAATTTCCATTTAAAAATTTCACAATTTTTAAAAATTTCACAATTTGTTTCCACGCTTAATTGAAACATGATGGGGCAAAAAATAGGAAAATACATGTAAATTTTCGTAATTAAACCCTGTTAATTGTTTTCCCGTTTGGTTCAAAATTCATGTCATCAAAAATAAATTTCCTTTTACTTTTCACCGGTTAATTGCATAATAATAAAAAATAATTTGTCATTCTTTACATAAAACATAATTTAATTCAAAACATATGTTTATTGCTGAAAAACTGCGAGAAAGCGTGTATTTGACATTGGTTGTATGTGGCGATAGGTGATTAATGTAATTGAACAAACTATTCAATTAAGCGGGTTCGGATAATTGGTTCCTCGGTTAATTGAATAAAAATTTGTGCGAAAAATACTGTATAAACATACAGAAAAGGCTGTTACGTACAACAATGTGTTGTGTTGTTTACAAAGACTTAAAAAATGTACCAAAAAACTGAATTTTTCACAATATTTGACGTGTATTCTATTGTATGTGGCGATGAAGCAGCATCATAGCGAAATGGTTTGAATGAATCCAACTAGGCAAGTCGCTTAGAAGAAATTTTCTTAAAAACTCCTGTTAAGATGTTCGACCAATGTAAAGGATGTTCAATTTACGAGGGCTACTGTATATTTTTCTGGTATTGTCTGTCGCCAGTGGACATTTCCACTTGAAAGTTTGACAGTTTTTAGCATAAACATACTGAATAGGGCCTGCCGTACGGCAATGTGTTTGGTTGTTTGCAATGACATAAAAAATATACCATAAACTAACTGAATTAACTCGTGAAAATTTTTCACAACATTCGAGGGGTATATGAAGCACCTTGGCCGACGCTCGTTCAAAGTAGAAGGTTGGGAAGGTGTCCAAAAACGCAAGTTATGCCACTGATCGTCATGATATAGCATAATAGAGACATCCTTGGGAACTTCTTCTACCAACACACATTCGAAAAACGAT